CAAAAAGGCCTTAATAAACACCAAAAGCGTTGTCATTTTTCCTTCAACTTGATGGAAAACTGAACATACGCAGATATACCCTCCTTTCCTGTTGGTACAGTAACTAACCCAAACAAGCTAAGCAACCGAAGCCAACGTCCCACAGGCTTCCATAATCAGAAAAGTCTTTGAGGATGTGGGGCGCTTTTCCAAAACGGTTATTATGCATGTTATAGGGACAAGTAGCTTAGCATTGGTTGATCGTTTTTTCCTGAGCAGCTCGAGAATGCCACAAAAAATGTTTGGGAACAGTAGTTTGTGGTTCGCATATCCCACTGGGGACAAATTTTTGCATTTCTCCGACTTCCACTCTCTGTACATAGAATAGAAGTTTCACTACCTCCGAAAAGTTTTACACTTTCTGGTAATCCCACGAGGCTCAGAAGAAATTAACACCAGGTTTAAGCTTACCGCACGTACCCCTACATCGAAACGTTTTACGTCCTGAGGGACTCACAGGAACAGGGGTTTGGGGCCGAAGTCTCGTGTCAAACTCTTGTGAGGACTCAGAATCAGGTTTGGACGCCACGTGACCTTCTAATCTGTGCCTTGGGCTGGGAAGGGTGGGGAGAGGCTAAGGATTGATCCATTCGGGGTTTGACACCCTAGACCATCAGCTTTGTCCGGGCTATTTACCCTTACAACACTTTAACTCTTCCACGAGGGTAAATTATGGAACCAGCACAAAAAATAGAGCGGGCTCCCAAGGGTCAGGCTCTGTGCCAAATAAATTTTCCCTGTTTTTAGAGTTCAAAAATCAAAAAGTACCTGGAAAGCTTCTTATCACGGGAAACAGAAGAGGATTTTCGCTCAGACGTGCTTAATTTTGGTTTTCGTTTCACTGGCTCCTCCTTGATGTCGACTGATTTTGCGTTGCCCATTCTAGCAGAAAGTGCTGGAAGGTCTGAAAGCGATAAACGTTAAGCTAACACGAAACGTGTGGATCGAAGCACGTCGAAAAATCGCGAATGGGAACATGGTGGAGTTGATCGCTACGAGAAACATATGCTCTTCACACAGCAGCAGCTTTTGCTAGATAGCAATAAGAAAGAAACAGCGAACAACGATGGAACGTCGTCCCTTGGAAGAAGTACGGTACCTACAGCAGCGTCGAAAATGAGAACTGAAGTACTGTAAAATGCGAGCATCAACGGGGAGTAGGATGCCCCTAAATAGTAATTTTCACCACAGAATAAACTAAAAGGGTCAACCATTCGGCCTTGATCGGCTCCTGTTGGAATAGTCATGAATTCCATCTCTCAGAACCAAAATTGCAGGGGTGGAAGGAGTGGCTGGCTTAGGCGGGGCGCATTTAGCCCCGATTCATTCGCGAGGAAAACGGGCTACAACAGAACCTCCACAAAGCCGAGCACATATCCGTCGAAAACAAGTTAATCTCTTGAAAGCTTCTCCAGAAGCACTATGTGTGGTGCGGGCCATAATTAGGTGTACTAATAGCAGGATAATCAGCCTTCGTTTGACCGAAGCTGCGGGATTTTCCCATTGTGTGATCGAAACTGGCGGTTGTAGACGCCGTTAGCTATCTGCTAAATTATGTGGAAGCGGAAACTGTCCTCACTTAAAGGCATGCCCCAGGCCAAATTGATGGGTGCTTGCACACAAATAGGAAATATCTTGTGCGAAATGGGCAGTAAAGGAAAGGGGAAAATGTATCGAAAAGCTCAGGGTAAAGGCTTGTCCACTTCAGCAGCGCGGTGGTGCTAAGGCATATGAAGAGGTGAAGCGCGAATGAGGAAGTATGAGGGAGAGAGCGCATAGATATGAGAAGGCCCCACGACGGCAACTTGCTGCGGTACAGGCAGAATAGCAGCTGTTGAAGCTGTCTCTCAAGGCTCTACGCTCCTTGTCGGCATTTCCATGCACAGTTAGGGAGTAAAGGTAGTCAGGGAGCACCGGGGAGTGCCACATCTGCGATCTCTCCACTACACGTCTCTCTGTGATCGTCTACAGACGGCTGAAGGGAACGCATTCACTCGGACCTCTGTGGGGTCGCCGATGATCGGCTTTCTTTTCTTGCTGAGGGGTAAACGTGCGTTCCTCCTCCTGGGTCAGGTCACCACAGCTGCGCAAGATCATTGAAGCTTAAGTTTGGGTTTAGACTTAGGTTAAGGCTTATGCTTACACATTGGCTTATGCCTAAGCCTATGATTGGGCCTAGGCTTAGTCCTAAGCTTGCTCCGAGCGAATGAACGGCGTCTCAATTTTAGGTGACCTGACCTCAGGAGGAGAAACGCTGCGCACCGCCCTTGCTATGGTTAGTCAAGTTCCTGCAGCGCAGTTTGTATTATGAATACTACTCATGGGGACCGAAACACTGAAATTATCCGGACGGACACAAGGGATGATACGATATGATATGAAATAAAATGATATGATATGATATGATATGATATTATATGATATGATATGATATGATATGATATGATATGATATGATATGATATGAATATGATATGAAATATGATATGATATAATATGATATAGTAGCTTGATATAATGTTAAGACCGCTTCACATGATCCAAACCATAACCTTTTTTCTGACAAGGGAAGGATACCCAGGTCGAAGTGGCCATTTGTAACGAGACATACACCACTAGATGTGTTTTTGGACGCTGATCTCGAATCTGCTCTCCAAATCTGCGAAAACGATTCTCTGAACGTAGTTATGAAGCGAGATAGTGCAGTGGCAGCGGCCCGGGCCGACGAGCAAGAGGTCGTGAGATCGACTTCTTGGCGAGTTTTCAGCTGCTTTTCTTGAAAACATTGTTCAAAGAACTCTTATGCATGCTAAATCATCAACGACTGCCTATCCTATAAGAGGAAAGAGCTGGCAAAGAGCTTCGAACACTGTGCGCGTCATTTGCCGTGTCCTGTCGGTCGTGTGTGCCCACATTTTCGACTTTAGGTCAAATTTTTGGATTTGGATCAAAAGTTGTCACAAGGGGTACTTTGATGCGCTGAACACGAAAATCACATCTATTTGGCAAGAAAGTGCATGACGCATGCGCTACGGGTGCCAGAGACGGTCATTTGCAAATGACGCACACAGTGTTCGAAGCACTTCGCCAGCTCTTTCCACTTGTATGATTGGCAATCGCTGATGACTAAGCATGGATAAAAGTTCCTTGAACAATGTTTCCAAGAAAAGCAAAAGTAAGAACTCGCCAAGAAGTTGATCTCACGACCTATTGCTCGTCGGCCCGGGCCGCTGCCACTGCACTATCTGCGCTTCATAACTACGTTCAGAAAATCGTTCGCAGATTTGGAGAGCAGATTCGAGATCAGCGTCCAAAAACACATCTGGTGGTATAGTCTCGTTACAAATGGTCACTTCGACTTGGTATCCTTCCCTTGTGAGGTGGTGGAAATTCCATAGGCTTATTCAGATAGAATGTCGCTGTCAGTGCCATAGTTACCAATAACGTCTAGCCGTAGTCAAATACAATTTTTTCTACATACATGAAGCATAAAAAAAGTAGAAAATTACTTTAGACTGCAGACAACCAGGTGCCATTGCGTGAGTGGCACAAAGTATATAAGAAACGACGAGAACGAAGATCCATCGGCTGACAAGATGTGATTGCACTTTTTCACTCAATTTTGGCACTGTGAAGAAAAAAAAAGGTCCAGGTGCGGGGCTTTAGATCCTCTGTCTCTCAGACCGTAGGTTTTTCTATCTTTCGGTGCTGTCGCTTGAAGGTCGGCTCATTCTAGTAATAGGGATAAAGATAATTTTGACTCTATTTGACTTTCCTAGGACGGATTCTACGTTTAGCTGTGATAGATTTACGATGCATGCAAGGTTCAGTGCTCTGAACTCGCTCCTATAGCGCCTTTATCTGCAACCCTTATTGTTAGTATCATAGCCCATGTATTTCAGAAAGGGATGAAATTTCAAGGCTCACGCCATTCCGCTCCAAAGTTAATGGTAGGAATGACTAGTTTAATTTTCCTTCCTACAAGGATATCGAAAGGGTGTTCTCGGCCAGAATTTTCACGCTTTCGGAAATAATCGAAGAAAGAAGCGTGAATTTAGCAAAAGTGGATTTGCTTACACATTTACTTCCCTCTTCGCCCGTTGGGGGTTTGTTTCAGGGGGAAAGCGGGCGGAGTTTGTCGATTGGTCTCAGAGTCAGGTACTGTAGAAATAGCCATGATGATTAAGGTGGTGGTCGGAGGTGGACCCGAGGGGGTGGGGGGTCATATTGAGAAAGATTGTCCCGGAAGCTCATGTAGTTGGAATCGTACTCAGGCACCCCTTCCCCACCTAGGAATCGTGAAATTTCTGGTATTGGAAACACCCTTGTCCTGGGTCATTGAGACTGGATAGCTCTGGAAATTTCTGATGGAATACATTTACTGTTAGAAGGTCCTTTCAAACGTGGAATGGGCCATTTCTCAATGACTCAACTATCTTTTGTGAAAAAATGGACTTTGATCAGGGGAAACCAATTCTTTGAGTAGTTTGTAAGCAGATGTTCATTCCGGTCCAGAAGTCACGCACGAACTTATTGTTGTCCTGAAATTAGATGTGAACAAGAAATCATCTAAATTTCCTACATATTCCTCAATTTACTCAATTCGCGGTACCCCCCCCCCTGTTGGCTGAGTCCATCTACTACGCGCTGGAAAATGCAATAATTCAAAGTATTCCTTCGAGCATAAGAAACTCCATCGAACGCTCACATTTTATGTATATACGATGTGGAATTATTGGGTCTGATTGGCTCAATAAGCAACCTACGTAAGTTCCAGAGTGCAGGTGTACCCTGACCAGAAAGCGACAACTGCCAGGGGGTTATGCGAAGGTAAATTCAATTCACGCTGAACTGAGAGTTTACTAGATGATTGTAAAGTGACTTTATGGCTTGTGTTCTCGGTGCTGCAGTAGCAAAAACACCTGGCTTCGCTTTGCAATGGCTGTGGGAACAATGGCACCTCTGTCAGTATAAAGCCTCCCACTTCAGCGTTATTCGACAAACTTGCGCCTGTCTTGAAACCAATCTAGTGGAACAATAGTCCAGGATCGACTTTCTCCCTGTCAAGGCATAGCTGGATTTAGATGAACATTAATAAAGTTACCTAAGCTTGGACGGCTACAATCAAGTATTCATCTGATGATGGTACACAATAGCAAAGTTGGCGCTATCGCAATATACCCGTATCCTCTGAGACCAAGCCCAGAAGGGAGACGAATCTGAGGGAAGGAAGTTAGAAATAGCCCGCCATCTGGAATCTTTCCTGCCTTGCCTAAGCCTTAGTTCCGTAGTTGACGAAAAGGAATGTTTTTACGTTTCGAATGGACTGCGCAAAGTTAAATGTGGTGCCCCCAGTATCTGGGCGACAGGACGAGAGACTTTAAAATGAGTTTACAATCAGGTGTCTTTTGACAGCTGAACACAATCCGATGTTTTTTATGCAAGTCTCGTATGAACAAACTCGAACACAGTGGCGCATAAGGGCGATTAGACGAATTAAGCCTTGACTTGTTGTTTGAGGTCATCACATCCTCACCCTAACTGATTTTCCAGCGGTCTATCAAATCCACGCTGGCTCAGCCAGCACGTTATGGTGTACCGGTATGTTCGCGGTCGAGCCCTCTTTACAGCGGGGGGGCCAAAAAAAAGTCACTTTGCCTACATGGCGCATATCATCAAACTTTTCGTCGCCGCTGTTATTGGGAGTTATACGGCGAAACATTCCTTAGATGTCCCCCATAAGCAGAATCAGGCCCACCTTCGCTGCCTTCACCGTCTCCAGAATATGACGTCATCTGTCATCACCGTCGAGCTCAAGGAGGCCTACCATAATCGCTCCATTCTGAAGCTGCTACATAATTTCTTCAATCGGATAACTGGTG